GTACGAATCGAAGGACAGCTAAATCTGAATTTTTCCTCCGCCCGAATACTTCCGGAAACCATTATTGAGCTGCAGCTTAATTTTGATACAGGAAAATTCCGGCGTCATGTGCATCCGTTTCCGGAAAACCATGAGCGGGGTACGATGATGCTGAAAAAGCAGTTCCACAGTAAAAAGGGATTCACCGATCTGTTGCTGATTTTGGGTGATGGCGGTCTGCAGGGAGTTGCGGTAACTGATAACCATTCTGAAAATGGCTAAAGTGGCGTATGCGACACAAAAGCAAAAGAAACTTCCGGAAACAGGCACCCGCCCTTGGCGCTTATCAAACGCTTATAAGCAAATGCTATTTAAACATCACCTCATACCCGAATCTTCCGATCGACAGAAAGATGACCAGGATAAACACATAGCGGATAAACCGGTTACCTCTTTTAATGGCAAGTTTCGCCCCCACAAAACCGCCCAGTGCGTTACATACCGCCATGGGAAGTGCAATGGCCCAGATGATTTTTCCTTTCAGTAAGAACAGCGAAATAGAACCTGCATTGGTCGCAAGGTTAATCAGTTTAGCGTTGGTATTGGCATGAAGGAAATCCATTCCGAGGAGGGTTACAAAACCCAGAATAAAAAAGGTTCCTGCCCCGGGACCGATGAACCCGTCATAAAACCCTACTGCAACACTCACGATGCAACCGTTGATGACAGCGGTATGCCAGGGAATCTGCTTTTCTTTGGCCTGCCCGAAGTCTTTTTTAAAAAGCGTGTAAACAGCCAGCGCAATCAGGATGAAAAGCAGCACGGGTTTGATGAAATCATTGCTGACGACGGTTAATAGCTGTGAGCCCAGAAATGCGCATACAAATGCAATAAGTGCCATGAGACCGAAAAGCTTCCAGTTTATTTTAACATTTTTCAGGTACTGGCTGGTCGCGATAGCCGTACCGCTGAAAGCCGGGATCTTAAGGGTTCCGATTACCGTAGAAACGGGAAGATGCGGTAACAAAACCAAAGCCAGAGGAGTCTGAATGAGTCCGCCGCCTCCTACGATGGCATCAATAAATCCGGCACAGAATGCCGCGCTGCAGAGATAAAATAACAGTTCCGTTTCCAACAGTTTACATTTTTTGCAAAGGTAAGTTTTAAAAGCGGAAATCTAATGGCAGCGCAGAGGTAAAGCATTTTACCTGTGAATGATATTTAATATTAATCTGTTTGTACAGTAATGGCACTTCTTCCCGGAATCCGTATATTTGGAATGCCAGGACATACTGTTACTGTTCATCAAAAAGCATTAAAAACATCACCATGCAGACCATTATTGGATCCGGAGGCGCTGTCGGAATACCGTTAGCCAAAGCCCTAAAGAAATTTACAGATCACATCCGTCTGGTAAGCCGGACCCCAAAAAAGGTGAATGAAACGGATGAGCTTTTTCCGCTGGATGTCAGTGACCTTTCTCAGATCGACAGGGCAGTGGCCGGGAGTGAAACCGTATACGTTGTCATCGGGTTCGAATACAAACTCAGCGTATGGCAGCATACATGGCCGCCATTTATGAAAGCAGTAATTAATGCCTGTAAAAAGCATCACG